TTTACTTGAAAAAATTTTCACGATCGCTTATAATTTTTGAAAAAAAAATTATTTTCGTTATTTTATAACGTTTTAGTACCTTCGGAAAATGTATTACAACTTTTGACGCATAGTAGCTAGGTTAATAGTATAAACTACGTTATGTCCCTCTTGATTTGCTATTTCTCGAGCAGTGATCACTGCTATGCTTTAGTCAGTGGTTCTTTTTTAATAATGGTGTAAATTAACAGTTGTATTAAATTAGTTTTAAAAGAAAAACCCGATCAAACAATTAAGTTCATGTCGTAGTAATCCGTTTTAGCGACCTAACTATGCGCTCCAAATGGTTTTCTTATATCGCTAATAATAAAAAGAAATATGGGGTGAGCCACTTTTGAGGGACACCCGGTATAGTATTTATTTATTTATCGTCTCAAAAAATGATAATGTACCAATTTTCATGTTCATATTTAAGCAAAAGCCAAATTATTAAAGAAAAACGAAGAGGTAAGTACCCGGATAAATACCCATTCTATAAATACCTACGCCGGGTATTTACCCAGCGCCCATCTAAAAAAATAAATATCGGTTCTTATGCGAATCACGGAATCATTCTGTATACTATAAAAACAATTTTGTAGATAATATAGGAAAATTGTATCCAGCCTAAACCAGCTATACTGAATAAAAGATGACGCTTTATTTCACATAGGAATTTTATAATTTATATGGTATTTAAATCACACCATCTATTTTAAAATAGCATCATCACTAAGTATTTCATCATTATTTGTTAAAGAAAATCTTACATAACAATTTAATTTTAATGTTATTTCAAAAAATACATAAGTACATCAATAAATATTGATTTTTAATTAAATTAAGATTTAATAATTTAAGGTTAAAATAGACATTTTAACCTTGACACTTCGATGACAATTAAATGACAACCTAAATATATAATCTTCAATTGCGCATTTTTATGTGCGATGTACAATAACAAGTTTAATTTAAACATAAAAACACCGGTAAAGTTCTTATTAAATTCAAAATTATTACATTAATACAATACTAATTTCAATTTTTATGTTTCAGGAAAACCTATTTTATAATAGCTACTTTATTTAGAGGTTATGTATAAACCTGATACCTTTTAATTCATCGCTTTTTAAACCACATTTTGTCTTAAAAATCAAATTATGGCAACTATTGTTGTAAGAAGATTATGTAAAAATTCTGTGAGATCCTACGCGCGCAGTTTTAGCATTTTGAGAACAAAATCTGATACAATCGGACCCAGTTTGGTTTTTAACGTTATCCGTTTTAACCATAATCGAGTATTGGTAAAACGTTTTACGCCTAGTTTGCATAATTTATGCGCGTATTCGAATGAGAAGAAAAATGATAAAGAAGTTTTGAATCAGAAAAAACTTGGTTTATTTCAGAAGTTTAAGCAAATGTATCGAGATTATTGGTATGTTTTGGTCCCAGTTCATATTGTTACATCAATTGGATGGTTTGGAAGTTTTTATTACATGGCTAAAAGGTAATTATTTAAATCAAAATTATTTGATTACTTAGAATGTTTTTTTTTTATAGTGGCATTGATATAGTAGCAATAATGGAAAATTGGCATATAAGTGAAACATTAATATCACCTTTAAGGGATTCATCCATGGGGTATATAGCGGTTTCTTACGCTTTATATAAATTGGCGACGCCATTTCGTTATATGGTAACATTAGGAGGTACTACATTTTCAATAAATTATTTGAAAAATTTGGGTTATATCAAACCAGTGCCAAGCGCCCAAGAATTAAAGGTAATGTATAAAAGGAGAATGGGAAAGAAAAAAAATGTTAAGAATGGGGGCAGTGGTATTAAAATGAAATGTGAGGAATTAACACATTTGCATCAAAAAGAAACAATGGTCGCCGGATTAGATAAAAAAGTTAAAATGGAATGTGGTGGGAGAACTGGAAAAGTGAAAAGTATTAAAAAAACAGAAAAAAAATAAATTCTATAATAAGGAGTAAATAAGATTTATTCTATTTTGTATTTTGAAACTTATTTAATAATAATTTTGTTTATGTCTTTGTTTGTAGTTAATTTTTTTAGCAGAAAATTGAAAAAAAAATGCTTTAAGGCGTACATTATATTTCATTATTTAATACATTAACATATTTATAAAAATCATACATTTTTATTCATTAATTTTCATTGAATTTTTCTAAAAATGGAATGATTCTTTTCCAATTAGAAAAGTTTGGATTACTTTTAATGCACAAAACTAGTTATTGTTCACATTTATTACTGGATATCACAGAAAATAATTACCATAAATCATAACAAAAATTTTTTTATTCATAACCTCATACATAACCTTTTCTCATTTTCATCTTATCATTTCAAATATTTTAAAAGATAGATGAAAATTAATAGAAAATTTCTTTCTGGTTATACTTGCAGGTTCCCAATTTACAAAACGTTGCCGTTCAGAAGATTTTAGTCAAAGGAAAAAGTACTTAACCTCCAAAAACTTAAAATTTATCTATGATATTAACGATATTAAACCATGTATTATATCACAAAAAAGCCATAGTTTGTGTAAAAGCTGAAAGCTTATTTCTTGTTATCTGTTTAAAGATTAATTAATAACACATTAATAAGGAACTTGCAAGTATTTAATTTTTTGGAAATACTCCCCAATTTACAAATATAAAAAACTGTGATGTCTATAAAAAATTAGTAAAATAATCTTAATCTAAAATCTATAATTAATCTTTATTTAAAACAGAAAATAAATCTAAAAATATATAATTTGTAAGTTATGTTAAAAAATTTTAAAAAGTAATAATCAAAACATAACTTCAAAATATTGCTTAATACAAGGGCGGAAGAATCTAAAAGAACTGTTCAATCAGCTGTTGTTGGGCCCTACTGCTAGTATTAGCTCTAGTTTTAGTTATTATTTAGCGCTAGGTTCTCAACACACTCTCAAGACGGCTAAACAGAATGTTTCTAGTTTTAATCTTACAAGGGAAGTGTCACGACTGTGTCTCACCGATTTCGATGAAATTTGGTACATTCAGAGAATGGGCCAAAATAAGGTTCGCACATTTTTTTATACGTGCGTTAAAACCCGTGGGGCGAGTAATGTGGGGTTGAAAGTTTGGAGAAAAAGTACGTTTTCACTTATACAGGGGGTGTCTCACATAACTGGTTCGTTAGAACTTTTTTAGGTTCCATTATTCGTACAGTTTTGAAATTTTGGTAAAATAGATTGTTCAGTCGGAACTTTCGATCTAAAATATTTTCAAGATGGCTGCCACTTCCGGTCTACCGGAAGTAAACCATAACTTCGTTATAACCTTTTAATTGTACGTAAAAAAATATGTTGACTTTCATAAAAGTTATTGGTACCTAGCGTTTTTCGTTTTCGAGTTATTTTGGTTTTAAGATTTTTTTGGCAAATTTCACCATGCTCTTTAAAACCCTATATTTCAGCAAACGTTCATTCAAAAAAGCTCTAAATTGGCACGATTACTCTTCAGATGCTGTCAAATAGATTGTCATATATTGTATCAGAGTATCTTATACAGGTAGTCAAAAATTGAATTACCGTTTCTCCATTCAATGGGGAGAAAGTCGAAAATTTTAAATGGAACGCCCCATTTTTTATTAGCCTACACGAAAGGGAATATAATTCTCTACAATTTATCTATAAACATTCCTATACCTATTTATTGTAGTTTCTCTCATATTCGTAAATTTATCAAAACATGCAGGAAACCGTTTGTATTTTTATTAGAAGGCCATGACATTTTGACAGTTTTTTGTTTAATTTATTTCTATTATTATTTGTACTATTAACTACGATTGATAATCTTTTAGTTTACTAGCTTTTACTTACCAAAAATAACAAACAAGATCAAATAAATGAAACTATTAAAACAAAAAGTTAATGATAAAAATTAGATTACAATAAAAATATAAATTTATAATATAAATTTGTTATAAAATTGAATTTGGAAATGCAATAAAGCACGATAAAATATTTATTTCGTTGTCTTCATCACTGGTGACCGGAAATATGCGATTTCTTTTGGTCTCGATATATCCAGATCTAAGAAATTCTTTATCAATTTTTTGAAATTTTTCCTTGTGATGGGCGTTAGGTTTGTTAGGCATCTCTCATTAAGTGTTCGACACGTCCTGTCGAAAAGTTTATTACATTCGCCATCAATACAAAATAAATTTCAAATATCGGCGTTGGAATAATTTTCCATGATATTCAATGACTTACACCCGTCGTCAAATGTAACTAATGGCAACAATAATACAAACATGGACCAAAAACTGTCAACATTCCATAGCTTTCTAATAAAAAAACCTGGATTTCGTGCATGTTTTAATAAATTTCGCAATATGAGGCAAACTACAGTAAATAGGTATGGGAATGTTTATAGATAATTTGTAGAGAATTAAATTCTCTTCCTAATAGGCTAAAAAAATATGGGGCGTTCCATTTAAAATTTTCGACTTTCTCGCCATTGAATATGGAGAAACAGTAATTCAATTTTTGACCAGCCTGTATAAGATATTCCGATACAACAAATGACAATCTATTTGACAGCATCTAAAGAGTAGTTGTGCTTTTTAGAGTAATTTAGAGCTTTTTTGAATGAACGTTGGCTGAGATATGAAGCTTTAAAGAGCATGTTGAAATTTACTAAAAAAAGCTTAAAACCAAAATAACTCGAAAACGAAAAACGCTAGGTACCAATAACTATTTTTTTTACGTACAATTAAACGGTGTAATAAAAACTATAGCATTCCATTTAAAATAGCGAAGTTATGGTCTACTTCCGGTAGACCGAAAGTGGCGGCCATCTTGAAAATATTTTAGATCGAAAGTTCCGAATGAACAGCCCATGCTACCAAAATTTGAAATCTCTACGAATAGTGGAACCTGAAAAAGTTCTAACGAACCAGTTACGTGAGACACCTGTATTTTGAAAACGAAAAGTGCTATCAAAATTAAAAGAGCTTTAATAATAAATTTAAAAGAGCTTTCTTTTGGTGTATCACATATATACCAGAGGATTAAAAAGGGCGAACTAAAAATTTATAATTAAATATTAGTTAAATATACTTGTAGTAAATTCAAAAATATTAGTTAAGTGTTTTTTCTCATTCATCGTAGATCAATCCTAGCGATGTTACGAAGGTTAACATGTAACTATTTTTCATAAGAATGATGTGATAAAACTATCAATATTATGAAAATACTTTTTTCGCCTCCCATACCTGAAAGTAAATCATAGCAGCCCTAAAAAAATAACTGAAAGCTAGATTTTCGGCCCTTGGGATTCTAAACTCTGAACGTCCTTACTTTATAGTTTTTGATCACAATCTAGTTAGTCTTCATTGACATTTGCGGACATTTTTGACGTTTCTTATAATTTTTCATTAAACGTCAGTTGAAATCAAAACTGCTTAATTCATTTATAAAATTAGTTTTATTTTATATTTTTGCAATTTTGTTTGGTTTAATGGGAGGCGAAAAACAGTTGTGTGTCACACGTGCAGAAATGCATTAGCAGCCCTTATTTATTAGCTGTCCTCGCTTCGCTACGTTCGCTCTTGCATCTACATAACAGCCTCGGACTGCTAATGCTTATTTTCTGCCCTTGAGACACAATATACTATAAACAAAACCGTAAATTAGTCTCACAATAAAATGTGTAGTGTAAAATAAGGCATAATACACCATTTAGGGGTGCTTGGGGTTAACCAAACAGAAGCAATTAATTCTATCCTGGCCGTTACTTGTCGATTACGGCAAAATTTGGCACTGTGTTTGTTTTATATTTGAAGTAAAAATTTTTGAAAACAATTATAAAGGTTACAAATTAGAGGTAGTTTTTTGTTTATATCTTATATCCGAAAATTGAAAACTGCCATCGTAATTTGTTAAATGAGTATTGTTTTTTTTTTTAAATCTGTCTACATCGATGTTTCACGAAGTGAACTACCCTCATTTTCTTTAAATAATAAATATAAAACTACTAGATAAATAAGATATTTTATTTATTTATGAGTTAAAAAGCAACTGACAAAAGAAATGGTTGATTATACCAAAGAAGTTTATGTTAAGAAGTTACTAATTGACGTTTTTTCAATTCAACCCGTAATATCTGCTGATGGGAAACTTCTTTCTCCACTTTTTATTGTTTTAAAAGAAACCTCTGGTAGTTTTGGACCGAGGGTAGCAATTACAATGTTTAAGGCAGACAATATATACGTTTTGGCATCAAAATCTGGAAAGTTAACTTCAGAACACATGAAAAATTGGCTACAAAATTTTCCAAATACTGGTTCTAAATCATTATTATTATTAGATTCTTGGAGTGGCCATTGTCCTGAAATGATTAGTGAAATAACTCCATCAGATACTAATTTTCAGGGATAACAGGTCAAATATAGCCCCTAGATGTATTTCGTCAGAATATGGAAGAATTTTATTAGAAGATTCTCTGATCAGATTATTCTTTACCAGTATGATGTCAATTTACATCAGAGGGATATATATATTAAAATTGCAATCCCTAACGCATAACCAGTTGTCTTCCCCTTGGTTTATAAATGTTTTTAAATACGCATGGTTTGCAAGTGGCTACATAGATGAAAGACCAGACCATTTTGAAAATCCCGTGGAAGTTTGCTTTTCGAGTGAGAAGCCATGGTGTAAAAAATCTTTATGTTTAAAACATTTTTTCCACGACTTTCATTTTTGCCAACACTATGTAGAATAAAAATAAATTTAACATTGAACATAAAAAACTTCAATTAGTAATATAAAATAATAATAATATAATCGTAATATAATCAACCATTTTTTTTGTCAATTGCTCTTTAACTCATAAATAAATAAGATATCTTATTTATCTAGTAGTTTTATATTTATTGTTTAAAGAAAATGAGGGTAGTTCACCTGGTGGAATATCGATATACATAGATTTAAAAATAAAACAATACTCATTTAATAAA